GTATTATGAGTAAATTCATCAGTGAAAGTCACAAAATAATTTGAGCTTCCAAAGGATGGGGGAGACATTTTACCAACAACATCTGAGTGTATAACTTCTAGGATGGGTTTATCATTTGTACTGGGGCCTTTGAAAATTTCTTCCTTTTCATTTTCCCCTGGATACAAACTTGGCAAGGTGCATTTGCTAATTCTGTTGATTTCCGGTCTTCATCGATTTGGCTAGTATTTTTTGTTGTACAAGAACGTGTGCCTGGCTTCTCCTTCAGCAAACTCCACTTTTAAGCCTCTTTCTTCAATTCTTCCAATGGATAATAAAAATCTTCCTAGTTCTGGAACTTGCAGGACATTTTCAATAGTGATATTTTTTCTCGATCTTCTTCTCCAAAAGCAAATGAAATATTTCCGATAGTATGGGTACTTCTTAATGTCTGAGAATTTTCTTTTGTCAGAGGTCATGTCTTCTGTAGCTCCACTGTCTAAAATCCACAGACTGTTTTTTCTTGAGTTTTCTTCGTTTGCCAGAACTGCAATATTTTTCTTAAGGTTAACTGCAGTTTTGGTACTGTTTTGACTCTGATATTTGGCTTCCTCACAATTTTTAGAGATGTGCCCCCCCACTGGCCACAGTTGAAGCATTTAGTATTCTTTCCTACTTGTTTCTGCTTTTTCATTTGGCTTTTTAGCTGCAGACTTCTTCATGAGTTTTCCAAATGCAGGCTTCTTCTGGTTGATAGCAAAACTTTTAGTGTGAAGAGCTTGCTTTTCATGAAAAACTTTAGCGGAACTCTCGTTTCTAACTATATGTTTCTGTTCTATGAGTAGCCTTAGTTTCACAATCGTAGTAGTCAGATTTGCTTTATCTTTTTCCAAACTTAGAATTCATAACTTCTAGGCAGTCCCAACAGCATCATTAGGGCCACTGCCCTATCCGTGAAAGTATATCCAGCATTAGCTAATTTTCTATGCAAATAAATTAATCTTGTTAGGTAGCATTGGACAGATTCATTTGGCTTAATATTTATGTTAAAGAATTCTCTCATAAGCTGCAGTACGTGAAGCAAACTGAATTTAATATGCATTTCCTTTAAAGAGTTCCAGGCGTCTTTGGCTCTAACGGTTTCCAATATCGTCTAGACATGTATCTTCAACTATGAGGAATAATAAAATAAGGGGTTCGTCATTCTTTTTCTTCTCTGCTTCACTCATTTCAATTGCATATCAGGGTTCCACTGCTTCCCAACATCTTTTCTGCACCAGCAAAGCACGCGAACGAATACACCACGTGTGATAATTATCGCCGTTTAATTTTGGAAATTTGCAATCTTCAGACGCCAATTTTCACTTAAATTTATTGAGCGAAATTCACCCAAAATTTTTTACTTCTTCAAAAAAATGGTTATCCAGCTCACTTCAGTTTCTCGCCACATAGCTATTTAAGAGAATAAAATTAAATACAATTTCTGTATAAGTATAGAATTATTTATTTGTATGGATTTCATTTACTTTTCTTTTATTCCATTATTACAAGTGGGTTTTGAGAAGTCAATTGAAGCAATTTTTTGGAATGAGGAAAACAAGAATAAGGAAAGTTTGTCTAGACATTCTCAAAGTCTTGCACCTCTAAACGTCTTTGCACTGTGCTAAATATTTTCATCTTAGCGTTAGAAAAAAATCTAACCATATTGTATGAAGAGAAAAGCCAATATCATACCATCCTAAGAAAGTCAAAAGAGCTACAGCCTATTAGGAATTCAGCTTTAATTTCACACTTTCCAGGTGCTACCATGTTGAAAAAAATTTCGGGTCGATCAAAGTAATTCTCGGTCGTATAGATACTGTTAATTTGGAAACGGGTGGGGTTACCTAAAAGAGAAGTCTATCTCTGAAAATTAGTGTCTCGGTAATTTCAACCAATATTCCATTATCGACAACTGTCCATAATGTCATGATTCTTACTAGTGTCTCAACAAATCATTCTAAGGATGTCTCATTAAATTTCTGTTTTCCGTTTCCGAGCTTTTATCTTGAAGCCAGTTAACGAACAACTGTTGTGATACAGACACGGTGAACAGAGTATCAAGTTTTACCTTACCATACCATTTATTTGGGCACAAGTATTTCACTATTGACTCTTACAGGTTAGCATCGAACCTAAAGCATCTTTCAGCAGGAATTGATATTGGCCTTCTTCTTCTTGAAGTTGAATTGGATTCATTCTAAATTAAGGAATTTTAAAGACGTTTGAATTTTCTAAAGGAAAACTGATTCGTATTTACATTGCACATGGCCAAAATCAGGAAAACTCCCACAAAACCAACTCGTTCACTGGGATGTACCCCTCGAAATAGTTTCATTATAACACTTCTAATTCTATGCATTATTCTTCTATAGCCTTTTTCTTCCAACTATAAATAAAAATCAAAAGTTTTGCCTAATTTTTAAAATTAGAAGTTGTTGATAATCGGGAAGGGATAAGATTTTTCATTTATTTTGCATATTGTAAAAGTGCTTTACTCACCGCCGTGACAGAATGAATTATTAAAGAAATAATCTTATATGTACTTCTTATTAATGTTTAACCAGAAAATTTCTAATTCTAGCTTTTTTCTCTACCGTTTGAAAAGCAAAATGAAATGATAAGTATGATGCTGTAAAGTTGCATGTAGATTGCAGTCCTCTCTATATACTGTACGGGTTCGTATTAGATTGAATGCACAAGTCTAATGAAAAGTTAATAAAATTAATTCTTATCACAAGATATAAAAACAAAATACTGAAATTTTTCCTCACAGATATTCGGACCATATCACAATATCACACAGTAGTTATATTTTAAACTACTAAAATGTTAAATAGAACACAATTCAAAACACAGAGAGAGCTAATCCGATCAAAATTACAGCAGTTAAGTAAACAACAAAATCTCAATAAAACAACTCAGATGAGATGTTTTCTTCTCCGGCTTTTATAAGCTTTTTAATTATGTACTAGAACATTCTGCTATTTTTTCGAGGTTTCTGGAAAGCAAAAGAATAGAATTACAAGATATCTATTTATTAAATGTTAAATGCGCGTGCTCCTGTACTTTTAATTTTTCGGCGTAGCTTTCTCTTAAAACTCGTCACGCGCTGCATCGCACGGGGAAATAAAAGAATTTTAACTATGATTCTACTGGCAAATTAAATACAAAATCCGTAACAATATGCATTGTTTTAAAATTTTATTCAAACTATATTTTCAAACAGATATGGACTTTTTTTTTATATTTTTTAAAAATATAAAAAAATTTTATATTTTCCTTATCAAATGTATATACAGGTATACTAGAAACAAACAATTCAGTTTTCGAAATTGAAATTCTTGATATCTTTTAGTGAAATAAAAAGTTTTAAAAATGTTAGACCAACTGTTTGAGTTTATATGGTAGAGCTTAAAATGTGTGATTTCCAGTTAAAGTACTAAGTTTAATTTTAGCATTTAAAATTTCTAAAATGGTTTATATTCTAAGATCTTTGAAAATGAAATTCTAAGATCTTTGATAAAATGATCTTTGAAAATAAACATCTAGTCTTGTGTTTCAATGCAATGAATCCATTGCAGTATGCGTGTTTTATTATACTTTTCTTGTATTCAAAAAACGACTTTTTCTGTAAAAGTAAGGAAAGAATTTGGATGTTGGTTTTATCTCTGATTTTCTCACATTCCCTCTAGAAAGACTAATATGGTCCAAAATTTGAATTTTTTTCGAGGTGTTTTCAGGTAGGAGTAAGTTCAAAATTTTGTTCGTCTATGGGTTATGCAAACCCATTGCTATCAAATGAATAAGATTTCATACTTCGATTTTTCTGCTTGATTCGCTGACACATAAGTACTTTTACTACTAAATTTAAGAAGAGTATCATCAATTAAGGTGTAACTTAAATATTATATTTAAATTTAAATCTAGGATAATCTTAAATTTTTACTTGAATTAACGGTTTCTAAATTTATTTTAACGGCTTCTGAAAACTGCTTAAATTTGTACTTGAAAATTTATTTGAAGTTGTATACAATTTCATTTTATTTCTTCACTATTTTCATATTTGTGATTTAATCTCAAAATTATGAAATTTAACTTGAAGTAAATTTCAGAATTCAGGTGCTTTAAATTTGGTTAAACGTTTACTAGTGATGTAAAAAATATTGAATTTAACTGATAGTTCTATTTAACATTTAAAACTTCTTCCAGCATGGTTCAAGAGATCTAAATGAAGGCCATAATTCATACTTTGTTATAATATCTAAAACCTGAGGGGAAAAAAGAGAAAAACTTAATGCATCTTAACGCATCGTGCAGTTGACGGCAAGTAAATATTTTTTTTTTCACCCTTTCAACATTGATCCTCATCCCTACAATGCATTTGCGTTGTAAAATACATTGTAGGGATAGAGTCAAGACAAGCAAATATTTTTTCATATGTAGAGGCGAATTTGAGCGGTCGTGCAAGTCACATTTTACTTGGGCATTTGAGTTCTAAGGACCCTTAAATGCTAACTAATCTTTGAAAAATAGTAGCCACAACCTGCGTCGTAAGATGAGGGCCACCCCCAATTTTTAGTTGAGACTGGTTGCCTGCTTCATAAATCTACCACTATGTGAGTCTGCAAACATACTGCAAGCACATTGAAAGCTTATTAGTCGGTTAAGGGACAATTTTTTTAAACTGAATTGTGAATTTGAATTTTATTTTGAGGGACTTGAAGACACTATGATTTAACTCCATTGCGCTTTCATTGCTGAAACATATATTTCATTATGAAAGTAGTAGTATAATTGATAAATTCGTGTATAAGGCTTTAACGCATCGTATAAATCGTAATTAAAGGTTTTTCAAGTTTACTAAATTCGGAGTTCATTAATTAATTTCTGATACTTTTTAAAAGATAAATTAAAATTTACTTTCTTTCAGCTTAAAAGAAGAAACGGAATAATCGTTATGAGTCTTTCGCAAATAAAACCACAATACTTATGTAAAGATTAAAAATCCATGTTATCAAGAATCGCATATTTAATTATAACGGAAATTTGATTCGTAAGAATAATTTTTCCATCAAACTCCTTGAGTAAGATGACTAAAGAACTACTTCTTTCTTTCTGACAGGATTGAAAAATAGTAATTTTAGAGGAAAGATTTTAAACTGGTTAGTTACTTTAAACAAACTTATTTTTTTCAACATTAAGGACACATTTTACATAAACTCATCGTCATCATCATCATAACTGTTTTTCTAACAAGATTTGACCTTTAAGACCCTTATATGCACCGTTACTTCAAGAGAGGGAAAAAAAAGCGTAATCTTAAAGAGAAATCCTGGGAAAACTTTAATCTGTTGTAAAGAATTATTCAACAACGAGTAAACTTTTAAAATATTATTTTATTGATCCCATTTTATTAATGTAACAATTTTGTATTGACATTCTCATTTATTTTAGCATACTATCAACATTTTTCAGACTAACAATATCCACTGACACCTTAAAAATGGTTAACTTGGTTTAATTTTACTGAATTAAATGGGCATTCTATTCTGCTATAAAATTATTACATTCAAGCAAATTTTCTGTTTCAGCAGGATAAGTATCTACTGAACATAACATATAAAATTCAAATTCAGGCCTCATCTTAGCTACAGAAATTATTTTAATAAAATTACTCCATTACACTTATTATCAAACACATAAAAAATATGAGCCCTTTTTCAAATTCACAAGAAGAATTCTTTACCAGTTTCTCATCTGGGTATGCAAAATTGATGAAGGCTGTTTTTGTTATGAATTGTTCTTCAGGTAAAGCAGTTTAAGTAACATTATTTTATATATTCACATTTTTTCCATTTCTCTTTTATAATAATCCATCTATTTGGGATAGTAACATTAGGATTTTTTCATTATTCTATGGGTTTAACCAGTCAGATATCATAGACCTTCTGTGCTACTGAACTCATGATGAATGTAAAAGTCAGCTAGAAATTAATGTTTAACCAGCAATCAATTCAGGAATAAATTTCCATTGCTCCATCTCTGTGTTTCCTATTGAAATCAATGGGAAATTTTTTGGTCAATACATCAGACTGATATACTGTGTTTTATATATGCATTAAATTCTTCCATTGGTTTTTTTAACTTCCAGGCATTCTTCTGTAATTATATGACTATGCTTTTAAGGTACTTCCATCTCCAAGACCGTCTCTAATTTAAGAATGCATCAAATGATATCAGCCACATCATTTTTCGTTCTTCCTTAGCATTATATTTCTTCCACTGAAATATTTCTAAGACAAATATTAAATCGATTGCTCACTTATGAAAAGCAATCCACATGTGAAGTACCAGGAAAAATATAATGATGCTGTAAATTAGGCCTCCCTGCATGGCGCTGCGTCTTCTCCGGAAAAAGGAGAAATAAATATTCACCACGTCAAATCCCAGTAGCAGCGAGACTGCACGAGAACCAGCACCTCATCTTCCCTCATCCACTGAAATCAATATGGCTATTCCAGTGCCGTGTACGCGTTTCAGTGATAACTACGAATTAAAGGAAGAACTTGGGAAGTAAGCACATTATATGAATTTCAACTGATATATTTATTTTTTGACATATTTCTACTATCTTTACGCTTGTGAATGATTTATAGAATCCATTATATAAGTATATATTGGTGGTAAGTGTAAGCGGCAGATCTCATCTACACATGAGATAAAGCTGTTTAGGCTTATGTCGCCTGCATTTTTAGCCGAAACTGCTGTCACATAGTGGGATATTTGGTACGATTATCAGCTCAGTTTTAATTGTTAGTACTGGTTATTTAAATTTGTTAACACTAACTTTCAAGGGATTCCTTTTTTAACTGCTTGAACTAAAGAAACAAGCTGCTCGTGTCAAAATAAAATATCATGCAAATTTAAAGTATTGGCCATTCCCAGGTTAACAATCTTATCACCAATTGTAAATAGTAATTAAACATACACTCTGATTATGTGAATAACTTTCAGTTGTGGAATCTATAAATTCTAAATCATACCACTCAAATGCAGTCGAAATATTTTCTAATATTGTGTAGGTTTTCTGTTTGTTGACCTCACACAGATTTTGAAATGTAAAAGTTTTCTTATTCCATTCTGAAATGTGTTATAGTTCTAAAAGTCCGCTTTCTCAAACTGTGTAAAAAAATATTTTTGTTTAATTGTATTTAGTGAAATATTATTGTTCTCATTGTTAATTTGAACTATGCTGTTAATCATAGCACTTTAAAGTGCTGTGCTTTTCTCATTCCATATCTACTCATATTAAAATATATGTTTTTGATTATTATAATTTATATTGCTGTTCTGTTTAAGGTCATTTTAAACTTAGTTGTATTTGTTTCACTATTTTCATATCCTAATGTGTTTAATACATATATATGTTCAAAACTAAGTTTTATTTTGTAAGACAATGTTAAATTATAACCTGATGGATAACTGACAAAGAAATAATTGTAGTTTAAGTGACTTGTTGAATATGAAATTTTGGCTGTAACTGTTATTAGGCAGGCATTGTTCAGCTCACATATTATTAGGATATACAAAACCTTTACTATAATAAATTGGTGACAGCACACACCAAATTCAGTTCATTTTGTAAAGAAAAATTACTATTGAAATAAATTATATATAGTTTATTTATTTATTTATTTATTAAGAATGCTTTTTTGATGTTATTAAGACTTCAGCTGTTAATTTCATTTAAAAACAAAATAATCAACAACACGCTTTTTTGAATGTGAAGTTTGTAGGGAATGTATAATATCAGTTCACAGTTTTTTCCGATTTAATTTTTTCATTACTGTGTAAACAATAAAACACATATTATTTTAGGATTAATTTGTAAATGAAAGGCTATATTAATCTGTATCCATTTGAGTATGTTTATTACTTAATTTGACAATGCATTTTATTTCAGGTTAAACAAATGTATATAGAGAAGAAGAAATTGATATAATTATTTCATTATTTTTTCAGTTGTACTATACCAAAAATTATTAAATATTTATTGTTAAGTATAGTCTTTACTGAGGTAAATAAATGATTAGTTACCGACTGTTTTCTCTAACTAAAATATAATACTCTAATCATCTAACTGTGTCGAAGAAGGAAGAATGGTAAATCAAGTTTTAATTGGCTTGTCATGTGCTCAAGAAATTAATGTCCTGAATTTAAATCTGTGTTTGTTTATTTTTATTTAATTGTTTTCATTTCCATTTAACTAAAGGTGCCATCAAACATTGAAAAAGTATATAAAAAAATTTAAATGAACTGTTTCCAATGCAAATGGTTGTTTGTTTACTTTCATAATTAGCAAAACTTTATGTTTTACTGTTAAATCATTTTTAGTTTGTTAATTTATTTTGTACTTCATAGTGTTATCTTTTAAACCATATACAGATCTTAAATTTTACTTTTCAGAGGTGCATTTTCAATAGTGAGAAGATGTGTTCAAAAGATAAGTGGTTTAGAATTTGCTGCAAAAATTATCAACACAAAAAAATTATCTGCAAGAGGTGAGTAATGTATTATTTTGTTATATGCAATTTTATCTATGAATTATAATATTAAAAATTATAAAAGGAATGGATTTAAAAGAAAATTAGTTTCATTATTTCGTAGCTACAGTTCATAACAATCTGTATTATGAAGTAATGATTTTCCTTTTAAGAAGTATGCACAGGTGTCTTAGATTTGTTTAACATGTGCATTGTGTAAATTTTCTTTTATTTTAATATAGTTTAAGGAATATTTTAATACTGTATATCTTATTTTTTTTAAACTAATTAGGAACAGTATTAAAATATTTAATTACATTTTAAGTCCATAAGAAGGTATTAACGAATTGGAAATTTCATTATTCTTCTGTTATCGGGATCAGATTAAGAAATGTATGTATGTGCATGCATGTACATATATATATACATGCGCATATGAACACATACATCCATATATATATATATATTTTAATCTGGTCCTAATAACATCAGAATATTGAAATTTCTGATATATGTAATTAACATCTGTATATTCATTTTGCCCTTAAATTGAACTAAATGATTGTATAAAACATATTTTTATTATTTGGCATTAAATTAAACTGGATGCAAATAATATTATTGAAAAATGAAGTTTCATTTGTAAGTTGTGTCATCTTTAATTATTATTGCTGATCATTATTATTAAAAAGCAACCTTTATATAGTAATGTCTGTTTCAGATTTTTTTCAAAATATTGTTAAACTTGAATAAAGTGTAATAATTTATTTTTGTGATTAATTGCTTCAAAAAGAATCAGATTAAAGTAAAATTTCAGGAAATTTTTATCCTTAACTAAGTAAAAATTCAAAGTTTAGCAAAAATATTTTATAATTACTATTGGTATTGTTAATTTTATATTCTCCAAAGTAGTGCTTGTGGTTTTTCGTCCATAAATCATCCATAAAGGATGCATAAAATTTATTAGGAAGGGCATCATGTTGTGGTGAAAAATAGGCAGAATTAATTTGTCTACAAAAGATTGCATCCACAAGATGTGTCTTAAGCAATCCGCATGACAGTTGGCTATCTTGAGCTTGCATTCATAAGAAACGTTTTAAGAGAAAACACTTGAATTTTTGTTATTTTTCAGTTTCATAACTGTCAAAAATATGTGAATGTCAAACACAAGGAGAATTATGAAAACTCAATAACAGCTACAACTGTTATGTTGGAAATCATATCCAGATAAAACTGTCTGTTTTTAATAGTTTTATTGATTCATAAGTTGGAACTAGAAATACAAATCATGTCCAAAAATAAATCGACAAAAAGGGATTTAAAGGCATATCAAATTGAGGAAATGTTAAGATCAAGGTTTTGAGAATTGAGTACTGTTAACATAACTGTTAAATTCAAATATGTTTATGATTTATACATATATATATACTATATCTATTAATATCTTTGATATTTATATAGAAAATTAAAAGTTAAGATGATTTTTCATTTAATAATTACTTTTAAAAGGATAAATTTTAAATATTAGTTAGCTGTTTAATTTAAAATTAATTTAACATAATTAGAAACAATTTTATGAAAGAGAATGTTTCATTTGATTGGACTAATTTCATTTTCCCCCACTTAGCAAATAGACTTTGGAAGTTATAACAATTTCTTCAACCCATTTGTAAAAAGAATAGCATTTGTAATGTAGCAGCTTTTTAGTAGTATTGCAAGATCTTATTGAAAAACCATATATATTAATATCGTTGTTATGTTACATTTTTCTTTACGGGATTTCATTCATTTTGTTTGCCATGAACTTTTTAATTACATTTTCAAAGTCCGTCATTTGAGATCTAACATTCCTTACCATAGGGAGGGATACACCACCAGTTGCAAATCTCTGCTTTCGTACTGAAAATCAATGAAGTTCTAATATATGTAGTAATAATGAATAATTCTAAAACTTTCACTGTTAAAAATGCTTGTTTATAAATTGGATGCAATAATTCTGAAGTATGGGATAAAAGTTTTAATTAGTATAACTGTATTTCATGAAGATTTTACCTTATAAAATTAATTTTTGAATAGTTTTTTCCTCCTTAATGATAATATGGATACAGAAATTTAATCATATATATCACTTATATGAATTAATTTTTAGATTTTCAAAAGTTGGAACGTGAAGCAAGAATCTGTCGAAAACTGAATCACCAAAATATAGGTCAGTTGGATTTAAACTTATTATCATTTAAAAAATTTTTTATGCGTTCCAAGATGTTATTTTCCATTGAAGAATGTTACTGGTAAGTATGCCTTGATATTAATGTTTCTTAACTTTTTTTGGAGGAAGAAATATCCACAGGATCATAGCATTTGTGTATTTTGGATAATTTTCTAAGCAATAGGTTTTATGTAAATGTGGTGTATAATACACATTGCATTCTTAGAATGGGAAAAATCAGCTGAGTGTAATTTGTAAATTGTTGAAGAGTACTTTTGTGTATTTTAATTATGACAATAAGGCTGCCCAGAAAGGAAAGTGGTTAGTGACTGACTATCATGCTGAAGGGCCCGGGTTCAAATCCTGGAGAATCCCGGATGTAGTTTGTCCATCTTTTTATATGAGGCAATAGTGGCTCACATATTAAGTGTTTCCATAATAAAGAGACCACCGCTTCCAGTCTTAGTAGTAGACAATGCCTATAAATGGTTAGAGCCCATCATTAGGAAAAGAATTACAGTAAATAATTATCTAAACTTGAAATTGTTTAAGAATTCTACAACTTTCCCTATATTTGTTTATAAGAAGGTTTCTTTGGTTTATACTTCAATGGTTAAGTTTAAAGGTAGTGAATTTGTTGATATAAAATCTACAAGGAAGATTTTGCAAAGCAAGAGTCATTAATTTAAATGAATTAGTTAAGCTGGAAAAAAAGAAGGATTTAAGAACTAAATCATTTTGGTTAAAATGAAAAAAATTCCAAAACCCATTTAGAACTTTTCTTCAGTTTAATTGATTCAGAGACAAAGTGTGATTTAACCACATACTAAGAAATTGATAAAATCAAAACATAAGTAAAATTTTGTGTTTTATTTTTGTATTCATTTTAGGAATATATTAAAATTGGTTAGACTATCAGGCAGCTTAGTAAGAGGACTAATATCTTTAATGTACCGTTTGGCCCGGGATAGGCATTCCACTAAATTTGATGTTTGCATTCTGTAATTCATTATATCTTCTGTTTGTGTATTTATTGTTGCCTCAATGTTTTGTATTTTAAAATGAAAATAAACATGTTCCTAAAGAAGTTTCAATTAAACTGAGCTAATAGCTTTCTTTGGAAGGAAGAAACCTATTAGCTACTACCATAATTTATATTAACCTACATTGAATGTGTACTTTTTGTTAGATGTAAATCATTTATTTTACGGTAATATCAGTTGCGTTTCAAAATCTGTGCTATTGATATTAGCTTGTCTAAAACATAAAATATTTATATGTAAGAAATTTTAAGCCATTATATATTCACTCATCCTGTTACACTCTTTTGAAATCTTTCTTCAAGCTTTCAGTTGTAATTTTCTTCTAATATATTTTCACATGTAATTGTTACTACAGTCAAAAGTCTTTAATCCAGACATCCATAATCCAGAATGATGTATAATCCGGACTTCAAAGCTACAAACTTTCTGCGCATGCGTAAATGCACAATGCGTATGCGTAAACGCATATACGTTTGCGCGTTTAATGTATAACGGACGGTATAAGCTAAGCTAAAATTATCTAATTATCTATGTCAGCTAATGTTGCAGATTGCGTTGTTCCTTAGTCTTCGAATTGGATCCAGCTTATTATTTTTTGCAGTCTGTTAGAGCAGTTTTATAAAAGTAAGCTTGAACTTTCGATTATGTCAAAAAGAATTTCCGATTCTGGAGCTGCCAAAGGATCTACAAAGCGAAAGCATGTCTCGATGTCCATCAAACAAAAAGTGGAATTGCTGGACAAAATGGATAAAGGCGTATCCTTTGTTTCTCTAACCATTCCGAAATCTGTTTATCAATTTAACGCTGCTCTGCAGGGGGGGGGAAGAGTCGTGGTGCGCAATGAACTGGAAGTTGATCTGTCAGCACTATCCTTATCTTCAGGGCAGATGTTTTTATTTTATTCAGCTTATAATTCCGTACTAAATGTAGTATTTCATCTCAATGTACTCCGTCTTTGATATGATTTAAATTAAATTCCTTCTCATTATAAATATCACGAATACACATTAAATAGTTTTCTGGTTGCAATTTTCTAATTTCAACTATGCGTAATGTATGCTTTACGCATGCGCGCGTTGAAAGAAATGTTTAATAAAGTAAACAAATAAATATTAAACTTTTTTTTTGTAAATTTTGATACCCTTTAGATCATAATTGCTCTTTATTTCATAAATTATGGTTTCATATTTTTAATTTTATAATTTCTGCATGCCATCTTAGCAGATTTAAATTGATGATCTATAATCCGGAAAAACCGATAATCCGGAATCGCCGAAGTCCTGACGAGTCCGGATTAAAGACTTTTGACTGTATTACTATTTTGACTTTCCATGCTGTATTTACCAGCAATATTAGTTAAAATTCTATTTTAATTACTTTGAATATTCTGTATTTTCTGTAATTGATATAGATTAAAAAAATTCAGATTTTATTTATGGTTATAATATAGCGTAAAGTGCAATACTGAAGGTAAATTAATTTGCAGTGAATGGCATAATAATGACGGAAGAGACTGGATAGCCAGTATATCTTATTGTTATGCCATATGCTAATTTATTTTCATATATCTATTCAAGCCAGTACATTACTAGCTTTTCCATTTAAAGACTTGTTTCACATTCATATGGTATCAGCCAATAAAGTCTTTCTATTTACGCATACTTTGAGTTTTGTGTTTTGTAAATGTTAACTGTTGGGAGAAAGTAGTAATACAAAAGCCCAGTAAATTAAAATATGAGGTGGATTAAAATATGATGGATCCATTTGCAACTATTAATAAAATATAAAATGTGTGAGAAAATATGGATTGCTGCATTTGGTTGAGTAATTCAAGGCATTTTTACTCTGGATACTGCACTACTATTCCAGGGTGCTACATACAGTGATACCATTTCCAGATTTGGCTGCTGTGCAAGAGAAAAACTTAGTACACATTCTCTCCAAGTGATGGAACATGTGTATGACAATGCCAAGATTATGGGGTGATATATGCTGTCCCATAACAGGTGATAATACAATTTTTCTGCGTTGAGAATATTGTAATCAGTCTGTATTTGTGGATACATCTGTACGACTATGGCCTACTACAAATAGAATTCATTTAGCAAGATATTTAAATCTGTAGGGATTTTATCACTAATGTATCTTCTTATTTTCAATATGCATATCTCGACAGAGACATTTAGCTAATGAAGGCAGTATGATCATAAAATCTTCATTTTTCCCCAAACTGTATGGGAATGACTATACTGTGCATGAAAAGGAAAATTTATGTGCATAATTGCATAAATGCTAAACTATTCAAAGTGGGAAGAACACCTCATATCACTTGGATATTCTATATTGTACAGAAAGTGCAGTTTTTAAACAATTTTAGTCATTTATTGTTATTCCTTGATTTATACCTTTAAATGTGGCAAACTTATTGATGATACAATAGTGCAGTTTATGTTTTATTAGCATTTGTAATATGTTAATAAACTGTATAAGCTGTTTTTTTTCTTTGAGTTATTTGGTAGGATTTTTATTTTTGATAATTTCTGATGGCAAAGCTAAATATGTTATATTTCCAGGTCAGTTGTTTTTGTGCCAGGTTTGCTATTTTTTTTTTTTTTTTTTTGTCACAAAGATCATTTTTAATAACTTTTTGCTTAATACAGCTAGCTTTCTTGATTTATCTACTATTACGATCCTATAAGTTATATATAGTAGGTGGTAGACAGATGTTGAGGAAATTTGACATGTCATCCAAAATTTGTGATAGTTTTAGGAACATTTGACATGATAGGTTTCAATGTGTCTGTCTTATTGGAAGGTTTAGTGTTAGAAACAAAGGTTTTATCACTAATGAAAAATGCAGGTTTGAGTCGATCAATTGAAACAGCTTGATTTTTACCGTGCACGAAGATATAAAGGTTTTATCATATCATTCAATGACTGGATGAAGACCTGACAGTATGGTTGTTGAAGAGGTGGCTTGACTCAGTCAATTCTCAAATAAACATGAGAACACAATTTTAAAGATGGAGGAATGTGGATAGGCTCTGAACAGTGTTTTGATGTTGGAATGGGAATCGGAGATTGCATTATAGATCCTAAACGATTTACATATGTTGGTGTCGGGGATGGCGGAAAAAGCCGATCTGAGCACAAAATATCCGAAGGCAGTCTTAAGGTAGTACCATAGACTATTTCAGAACAAGTTGCTTGGATGTCGTCTTTGACAAAAGATCTAATACCCAAAAGTATAAGAGGTAACGATTCTGTCCAGCGAGAATTCTCTTGCGATTTTATGCTGTTTTTCAGTTGGTGATGGAAACGTTCAATGATTCCATTTGATTTGAGGTCTATAGGCAGCGGTACGAATACGATGAGTGCCCACCAGGTTCGTGAATTCCCTGAAAAGATGCGATTCAAAGTTCCGACCCTGGTCAGTAGTGATAGTGGAAGGGTATCCAAAACGAGCTATCCATTCACTAATTAGAGCTTTAAAAGTTGTTTCAGCTGACATATCAGATGTGGGAATTACTTCGGGTCATCGCGTGAAGCAATCGATTATGGTCAAGCAAATACTGATAACCTTCAGAAATTGGTAATGGGCCAATAAAATCTATGTGAATATGAGAAAATCTGGCATCAGGAAGTAAAAATGTCGAAAAGGGTAATTTCATATGCTTTTGTATCTTGGAACGTTGACATTTCTCACAAGTTTTCATGGAGTTTTTGATAAAAGTGTGCATGTTAGGCCAAACGTAACATCTGCGTATCAATTTTGAAGTGGCAGATATAACTGGATGCAAAAGGTTGTGAATACTTTGGAAGATGATAGGTCTAAATGAAAAGGGAATGAAAGGATGAAGGACATTGGTTGTGGAGTCACAATAGAGATAAATATCTTGAAGTGGAAAATACTGTTTGGAGAGCTTCAATGAAGAACATTTAGAAGTTAGTAATTGTTGTAGTTCATGGTCTGTGTGTTGTGCTGAGGCTAACTGTTTGAAATCCAGAATAGGTGAGCGAGAAACAAAATCTACTTCTATTTGGGAGAATGTGTCAGCAATAGTATTTTCCCTACCTTTAACATATTGTATTAACATATTATATTTTAACATATTGTAACAGTGGAAAAGTGAGAGATATAGTCTAGGTTCTCAGTTGTCGAGGAGAGCACGTTTCTGCTTTTTGTCTGAAAGCAAATGTTAGTGGTTTCTGGTCAGTAAATATGATGAAGTTGCGACCTAACATGTGCCAAAATTTCCTGGTAGATTCTTATATTGACAGAAGTTCGCGGTCATATGTAGACCATTTCCGTTGACTTTTATTCAATTTTAAAGAGAAAGGAAGGCTATTGGCTCCCATTGACCATTTTGGAGTAGCATGAGAGAGCTGCCAATAGCAACATCAGATGCATCGGTCCAAAGACTGAGTTGATCACTAGGAAATGGATGTCTTAATAGGTAATAATAGTAATAATAGGTAATAATTAATAATTAATAGGGTAGCTTTTATAAGAGCTTCTTTAGCTGCCAAAAATGCCTTTTCGGCATCCTCAGACCACGGGAGAGGATTTTCAATCTTTTTAGTTGGACAGAATGATTTCTTTTTGTTAGAATAACCTTTTGAGAAGCTTAATTAAAGGTGACAAAATGTGCACTGCATATGACACAAATCTGCGATAAAAATTGAATAGGCCAAGAAATCTGCGAAGCTGTGTTAAGCTTGTTGGTCTGGGAAAATTTAGAAATGTCATCAGCTCGATCTGGAATGGGAGAAATACCTTCTTTAGAGACTTTATATCTTAAGAAATCTAAGGTAGGAACTCTAAATGTACACTTTGAGGGTTTGATTGCTAAACCATAAAGATCTAATCTTAATGATCTAAACCATAATGATCTAACCATAATGAGCTCGTAGATTGTTAATATGCTCTTTGTGGCTTTTTGAGGCAATCAAAATATCAAT